TTACACTGTTGGACTAGCTGAAATATGTTGTCAACATCCAGATCAATGGAGAGAGGTCAGGGTTGGAAGTGTCAATTGTGAGTCATCTGATTTTGGGACTAGCTGACACTGTGATGAGATAGTCTGCGAGGGTAGTATATGGTAGTATATTTGGAACAAAGAAGACTTCACACTGCTTTATGGCTGTAAAGAGACAGTTGAGTGTGCAAGAGGGTAACCTGAGACACTGGAAGAAAATTAAAGGAGCATTGTACTATGGGGGTCATGACCACAAAATCATCTGTGTTAATCTGTTCCTGTTGTAACAAGCTTTGGCAAGCTGGGAGACTCACCAACAGAAGAATTCCTTTCTCACAGTTCCATGATCAAGGTGCAGCTGATTTGTAATCTTGGTGACAGACATTTTATGGTTCATGGAGGATTTGTCTTATCATGAGATCACAACATAGGGAGGATGAAGAAGCTTCTTACTGGTTCTTTCATTTGAGGTAACCAATCCCATTTTCAATGATTCTGTCCTGATCGTCTAACTCTATCTCAAAGCATATTCCTACTGTCATCCTTCAGTAATCAGATTTCAATAAGTGAACTTTGGAAGAATGTAAACATTCAGATTATTCAATTTTTCAGAAAGCACTTAAAAATACTTGATTAGTTTAGCAAATGGCAAGTAGAACTTGAAGATTGTGTTGTGAACGTTATTGCATCTTCTGATGTTGGATTCTTACAAAAACTACTCTTGTGAATGCAGAAAACTATAACCTTCCTCTAGCCAAGAGAATATGGCAAAGATACATTGACACTATGGCTTCAATAAAGTTATTTTAATTAATAAAAAAATTGAGATTATCTTGGGTAGTTCTGGTTTCAACAGGCGAAAATATTTAAACAGGAGCAAGACACTAATTGTTAAAGGGAGAAAAAACATCTATATTTAGAGTGCCTATGCAGCCAAAATGGAAGGCATCTGGAACCCAAAAGGTGTCCCTAGGGGGCAGCCAACAAAAAGAGGCAGTAGTTGGTCATCAAATCTATAAGAAATAAATTCTACCAGCAGCCTGAAAGCATTCAAAAAATGGATCCTTCCAAAACTGAGTTTCTAGTAAGACACAAGCAGAGAACCTAGGACTGAACTCTAGACTCATAATTGATAGATAATAAACAACAATTTAGCCAGTGGATTTGGCTGGTGACATGGAAATAGAAAAGCCTTACAGAAGAATGAAGAGGTTATTGGTGATCTGAATGGAAGCTATCCTAGGCAAGTGACAGGATTGGTGCCCCATCAGGCTTGTTTGAAGGAGCAAGTGTGAAGCAAGCAAATGCGGCTGCCATAGAAGGCTCTTTGGGGAGATCTTTGGAACAGAACATAAACACGAGTTTTTAGCTGATCAGGGATATAGTTTTGATAACAGATTTTTACTGAACTTTTTTAAAAATAAAGAATAACTTGGCCATATCTAAAAGTCTGTTTGTACAAGAATCAAACTTATTTTTTTCCTGAATGTTTACTCAGCCTTGCTAACTGCAGCATAGCCAGATGAAATTAATATTTAACAACAAGCTAAGAGCAGTGTCTGGTGACCTAATGTTGATCTCAATGTTGAAAACACTATAAAAGATTATAGGTTATCAAAGACAGCAGTGTGAAATATGCCATTTATCGAAACCTCTCTCCACAAAGAGAGCCTGTCATCTGAACAAAGCTCCACATTTCTCTCTATTCTTTTGATAGGTAGATGATGCTCCTGGACTTTCTGTGATGCTGCTTTTCTGAGGTAACAGTTTTCTCTGGGAATTAAACAGAAGATGTGGGAAGGACCCTAAGCTGAACCTGTGGAATGAAGAGGACATAACTACAACATGTGTTAGATGAATTGACAGATAACATGAATAGTCTAGCAGTTGCAAGGTCAGTTTGATGCCATCTCTGTGGAACTTGTACTTCACTACACATTACTTTTTCTGTAAAAAGGAGTAACATGTTCTCTTGCCACATCCCCATCTCCTCCCCCTACCCCTCGTGGGGACCCACAGAGACTCCATAGTGAGGCATTATTCCATCTTGACTCAGGGTCAGAGAGTCTGAGTTTGCTTTACCCCACAAGGCTGCATAATAGGATGTTTTGGCTAAAGGCATGGTTACCAGGTGTGCTATACTTCAAGGCCTAATTACAAGATGCTTTGCCATAAGGTGTGGTTACTAGGTGTTTTGAAAATTAAGGAAGGCTCTACACTTCTTCGTACTTTGTATCTTGACCTTGAAAGGGGGGAGGTCTTTTACCTCTCTCCCATTAGATATAAACTTGAGGTGACTGTGGTATTGACTCAGAGCCCTCCCAAACGTATCCTGTGTCTCTGTCTTTTTCCATCTACATCTATTTTTTCATATCTATTATTTCTTAATCCTCACTCCTCATTTCAAGGACTATTTGGCAGGTCGTTCTGGTCCCCAACACTGTCCATGCTCCTAATTTACTCAGGAGATCTTATCTATTTCTCCTTCCTAGGGTGATCCATGCATATCTCTCTTATCATGAGTTTTTGGATACTTGGCAATTTTGATATAAAATGTATTCTATTATCCTTGAACAAAAGATTAATTTGGCATAAGATAGTAATATTAGCAAGCTAAAGGAGACAGAGTTAGAGGAAGGGGAAGAAATGAGAAGGCTGAAGAAAACTTTTTATGTCCCAGGTTCTGTGCAACACACTTCAGATAAATCTTCATCTCACAATAGTCCTGTAAGACATCAAGGCATGACCCACCATCACCCTTATTTAGAAGAATATAAACTGAGTCATGAAAACAACACACAATGTATCACAGCTGGTTATTGTTACATGCATTGTGCTAGAGAATAGACCTTTTCGCGTGCCTCAAAAGTAAATAAATATCACAATGTTCTGTCTCTACTATTAAAAAGATGTTCTTTTTTTATCAGAAGATAGTGTTCCCCTGTCAGAGCACAGGGAGGATTTCTCATTACATTAACAAGGGGTAATCTAGATCTCTAGGGAAGATATATATCTATTCTTGTGAGGACTTGCAGCAATTATAGTAATAAAATTCTTAGCTACATATGAAGTATTTTAATATATACAGTTTATACCAGAAAGAAGTAAGTCCTAAGTATGACATAGTATATCTATCAACATTAGACTTGTCTCATCTGCCATAAGTCATTTGCTTAGCTGGTGGTTTTTAGACTTAACCTTGCATCACAGTCTTTAATATGGCTTCTTAAACTACAGACCACTACTCTAGTCTTAAGAGATATTGATTCAGCAAGTTTGGGCATAAGCCTTTGACTCTGCTCATCTAGTGATTTTTCAAGTGATTTACCTGCTGCTGGCTTAGATGCCATAATTTAAGAACGACTACTTCAGATAGGAGTTCATATCTTCACCAATCCATGTAGGATGGCTGGCCTGTTATGCCAACCATTGGAGGATAGTCTGGGCTACATAGTGAAACTTTGTCTCAAAGAACAAATATAAATATATAAATAAAAAATTTTCTGTAAAGAACCAGATAAAGGACTTTGGCTTTTTCCTGTGGAATATTTAGCCTGAGTTGTGACTACATGAATATTTCTGTGAAGCCTATGTTTCCATAAAGTCTTACTCATGGAAATAGGCATCAGAATGGATACCAAAGTAAACTGCAGTTGAGTAAATATTTGCTTATATAATTCACTAAAAGGGTACTCATGGAAATTACTATTCATGTTAAACAGCAACTCTCTGGAAACCATTTACCCATGTTTCCACAAATCTTACTTCCAAGTTTTTAAGTAAAATCTATAGACCTATACAAGAGATGAATAGGAGAGGAGAAAGTCCAGCATTACCTATGAATTCAGTGGAAGAAGTAATACTTAAATGTAAGGATCTTCATAAATGCTTATAGTGGAACAGCATCTTCACTTTCACATTTTAGTTTTTATTGGATATTGTTTATAGGGTTAGAGGACATAAATCCACCACTATGTCACTCTAGTGAATGACACGGAAGTTATTGCAAAGAGGTCTGTACTGACTAATACACAACACACAGTGAAAGTGCTTTAATTGCTGAGTATGCAGGCAGTGTATTTGATCCTTATCCATACTTCAAACAATTTAAAATGCAAATATAAAGTTAATACTCTATGTCTGTGGAGCTCAGCATTAACTTCATAGTTAAGAAATGTAAAATTGGACAAAATTCAGAGGAATGTTTGTCATAATGGAACATAATTTAGCATGCCAAAAATAACTACATGCAAGTACCACAAGGAAAGTTAGTATCATGAGTCATCTTACAAACTTCAAATGTGAATATCATGTCAAGTCTCCAACAATCTGTTATATGCTATGAAATATAAATATTTAAATAAAGTATTATAGATGGCTACACATTCTAATATAAAATAATTTGAGGCTGGATTAAAGTGTTTTATAGCATCATTTATAACATCTACCTTTCAAAACATTTTACTAAATTCCATTAAATCAAAAATTTCAGCTTGACAAATGGGTGCACATTTACCCTTAGGCATTTAATTCTCTAGTAACACAGTGCTTTTCAAAGAGTGTGGCATTTTAAGAAAGAAAAAAGTGTTCAAAAGAGAACTGTAGTCCAAAGAAAATTGTAAAGTGTTGATTTTAAGCACATTCCATAAGTTTCTTTCCCTCAAGACTCCTCAGAACATTAGTATGCACGGTGTATAGAGATTTTGAAAGATTTAGAATACTATGTGGACTTTTCTGTTCTCATTTAACACAAAATATAAATGTCATGGAAAGTCCCTAAAGTACCAAAGAAGAGTACTCATGGGAAAATAGGGCTTTCAGCACTTGTATTTGTTTTAATTAAAAAAATCAGGTCAATTTAACATATATTTATTGATACCTCTCAAATTTGCTTGAGCTTTTAAAAGTGAACTGGTTCATTTTTTGTTCCATTCAAAAAAAAATCTACCTAGAACATGAATATTATGATTAGACATACTTACACTCCTCTTCAGGCCTCTTCCGAAGTGCTGCACGAGCCTCCTTATAAGGACTTCGCTGATATTGTGGGGGATTCCTTCCCCGTATTAGGCTCTCCATCCTGTAAGAGAAAGACCAAGATTATTTTAATACCCAAATCTTGATTGATAATGGAAATATCAAATTCAAGTTTAAATACTGACAGAAACTTTATAGTCCACACCACTGAAATTATCTAAGATAAGATGACAAGGGAGCACGGAGCATGGTAAGCTGGAAAGTGCTTGGCTTTTAAAAGGCATTTTGATTTAAAATGTTACAAAAATAACATGTGGCACTAGAGAAACAGCTCAGTAATGCCAGTACTTGCCCTATAAGCACAAGGACTTGACTTTGATCTCCAAAAACCATGTAAAAATATGTGATGGCATGCTCTTGTAATCCCAGTGCTAGGGAGGTAGACAGAGGGATCCCTAGGGCTTGTTGGTCAACCACCACAGACTACTTAACAAGTTCCAGGAGAGCAACCCCATCTCAAAAATACAAACTAGACTGAGCAATGACAACTGACTTCTTCTGGCATCCACATGGATGTGCACATGTATGTGTACACACACACACACACACACACACACACACACACACACCACACACACACAACAACACCATGTGGACAAAGCTCATACACAGTTCAATAAGAGAATGTCAAGACTGAATGTTTGTGTCTTACCCCCAATATAAAGGTATTTGGAAGTAATTCAATTTAGAAGTAGATTTAGAGGATGTTATAAGGGTGGGGTCTTCATAGTGGGATCACTGTTCTCCTAAAGTGGGGAGAAAGAGCAGAGATCTCTCTCTTCCACACAGGGCCAGTGAGAAGACTGTCCAGGAAGAAGGCCTTGCCCCAAAGCAAATCTGCCTGCACCTTGACCATGGATTTCCCGGTGTCAAAGTCATGCGTTGTACATGTACATCATTTAGCCACTCAGTCTATGACAATTTATCATAATAGTGCAATCACTCCAAAGGGAAGTTATTAAGAAAGAATAATCACTTGAAAGTAAGCACATTTATAAAAAAATAAGAAAGTAACCCTTTAGGAAGGAAGAACGTGCCCTGAACATTTCAATGATTAGTCTTCAGGAATGGACTTGCTATTTCTTTCCATGCTACTGGGTGAATCTGAAAGGATTTCTTTATTATTATTGTTATTGTTTCATTATTAACAACAATAATTATTACTATATATACATATTAATGTGCTTGTGGACATGTTTATAAGATATAAAAAATTTCAGAATATACAATTATAACTTGAATCTTAGTTCCATTTGAAACTCACTTTAGGTGAGAAAAAATTATTGATCTTGAGATAATGATGGTACCATGGCTGTAACAAAAGAGGTACCTGAAGGAGTTAAGACACAATTTGCTTTAATATTGTATTGTGGGAAGGGATCCTAACTTTTGCCATGAGGGTTAGACATGCAAACTAAATTGTATCAGGTTTTCTAGTTCCTGACTCTTGAACCAATTCAATACAATTTTAATAATATCAATTAGTAAACATATGAATTTCCATGACAGTGTAATGATAATTTAAGTGGATATTGACTTATAAGTTCAATGTACTAAATAGAGCAACAATAACTTGCATATGCAAATGTCTCCATAGATGTGTAAAAGTATGTTTTTTAATCCTGGGGATTGAACTGAGGGGGTCTTGAATGTAGTAAGTACTCTACCACTGACCTACATCTTCAGCCCTCACGTAGTTTAAAGAAATCAGTTTTACTTATCATAATTAACTTCTGCTATGAAATGAGAAGTTACCTAGGTTGTAAACCATTCCTGAGAAAACTATTGTTTTTAATATCTCTACTATGTGAGAATAGAAGTCCATTTACATGTAGCTATGGTGGGAAATAGGTGAGGTGCTTTCAAGAGTCAGGGAGTTTGCACTTGAATGATTACAATTGGAATCCAAGGACCAAGTCTGTAGAGGCTGCATTCTGGGAACACCAAAGATATGTCAGGAGATATGCAATGTTAGGAGTAAAGCATGACAAAGATGGGGTGGGCTTCATGCTGACTGTTGGCTGTGGGGCCCAGTTTAAAATCCTTTCTGTGACTGGTATGCAAAATAAATAAAAATTTCTTAATAAAAATAAAAAAAATCTTTTCTCTTAGAAGATGGCATCAGGGAAACTTGCTCACTTAGTCTGTACTTCAGTTTTTCATCAGTAAAGTCATGGTCACTTCTACTATCTTATTGTGAGGATTAGACATGTCATCACAGATGAGGTGGTTTGTGATATGTCACAGGGCAACAGAGCAGGTGAAGAAATGGTTATGAATCACAATTTTGGTAAATAGAAAAGAAACTATGAAGTGATACTATTGTGTACATTGTGCTAGGGAAAAAATGTCAAAACTTCCCTTTATTCATTAAAGAATAGGAACATTTAGCCTTGTGGAGAAAAATATCTGAGGAAATAAATGTTTCAGTCATCATAGAAATAGAAAACATTCACAGACATTGCAGACACATAAATTAAACTGCTTTGAGATTCCATTTCACCCCAGCCAGATGAACCACCATATAAAGGAAAACTATAGCAAGTGCTGGAGAGAATGTGGAGAAAGGGAGCCTTTATCCACCACTGGCAGGAAGGCAGACTAGAGAAGCCACCATGGAAATCAGTATGTGTGGGGGTCCTCAAAAAACTAAAAATAGAACTCCCATATGACCCAGTCATACCATTTCTGGGAACAAACCCATAGTACTCCATATCCCATGACAGGGAATGTACACCCACATCATTGTTATTCACAATAGCCAGGAAATGGAGTCAGCCTAGATGACCATAACTTATGAATGAATGGATAATGAAAATGTGGTTCATATGTTTAATGGAATTTCATTCACCTGTAAAGAAAAATGAAATTTACAGGAAGATGAATGAAACAAATTATACCTAGTAAGGTTCAGAAAGGCAAACACCACATGTATTTCTTTATCTAGCTTTTAGTTTTTATGCACAAGTATTCATGTAGGAAGGGCATGGGTAGTGATCAGGAAACTAGAAAGAGGCCCTTGAGAAGAAGAAGAAAAGGATGGAGCAGGTATTAGAACACATGTGATAAGAGTGTGGGATTGAGAATACTGGGGTCCAGAAGGGTACAAACAAAGTCAATGACAGGTAGGTGGGGAGAGAGAATTAATCAAGACCATGTATGTATGAAAAGAAAAAAAGAGACATCCATACATAATAACTGCCAATTTTTAGAGATGAAAATGTTAATACAGTACACTTCAACTGATCAATTCAATTTAAGAGATCATATATGATAATTTAAGAATACTTAGATAAATAAAAATGGCCTATTATCCACATCATACTATCTGAAGATCTAAATACCCTATTATAGTATTATTCTCTGACTTTAGGAATAATACTGAAGCATATATAATGTCTCACCATTTACTCCTGTTTCATTCAATACACAATGACGTCTCCCAAAAGAATATTTTTAAATTGAGTAAGTAAAGGCTTAGAGTTTCTCAGTGATGTACTCATAGCCAAACAGGATGTAGAAGATGTAACCAGTCTTTCCTGCCCCCTGCTTTCTGATTTTTACTTCATTATTCCCATGGACTCATGATTGTATGGAAATTATATGCCTACTACTCTACTAAGAAAGATATCTTTAAATGAGTTAAAAATCCTTCATGTACATAAAATTAATACTAGACGTCTACCTATATATGAATGTTTTATATATATAAGCTACTCAGTAATCAAACAACACTATATAAATATATGTATATTTGTTTGTTAATATGCTGATTCCGTGTTGTGTTTTGATTGCTGTCCTGGTGTCACTTAAATGTCAGCTTCATTCAGTGAGATTACTTTCAAGAACTACTGAAAAGTTAACCAGAGCCCAAGAAATTTTTCTATAAATTATGTATATCACATGGTCATGGAAGCAAACATTGAAGACATTAAAATTCTCTTTATTCTTTAGAATTGTAAATGTTGTGCCCACTGGGAGACACACATTCATGTACACAGTGTTATATAACTGACACTCCAGTCTTCTGGGGATCACACTGCTGTCTGCGCAAACTCTTCAACCAGTACAATTTATGATGCATGGTGTGCATTAGATGGATAAACAAAGTTTCCAAGGATGAAACCTTGTAGTACCTCCAGAACTCTGCAAATGAGCTGCACCATCTATTCTCCAGCCTGGCATGCCCCCAGTGGAGTGTGTTAATAGTTCCAGCAATGAGAGATGAAGTGTGAGGACCACAGGTGAGGCAGATGGTTTGTCTCATTGAGAAACTCTAGGAAGTGTGCCCCACATGTCCTTTTCTGAGAAGTATGTGTATTCATGTAAATATCAAACAGCATGAGTGGACATTTGGAATTTGTAAGCCAAAGGTGTCTGCAATCTGTTTGGTGTCTCCCCAAAGCCTGTTTGTTGTCTCCCCAATCTAACCAGGTCTCAACCATTTGTGAACCTTTAAATAACCCTTCACCCTATTCCAAAGGGTGCTCATGGTAGTAGTCAGTAAAGTCAAGTTCTGCATGATTCTGATCAGATATTGTTCAGTGTTGAAGAACTCCTACAAACATCAATTACATATTTGAAAATGCAAGGGAAGCAAATTCAATTGATAAATTCAATGACAAATAGAGAGGGGGATCAGGGCTCAGGACAAGAGAGAAGGTAGGATGAATACTGTAAGAGTGAAGAATGACCAAAGAGATAGTGCAAAGTCTTGCTACATCACCTGGTGGTCTATCAGAGGAGCCACTGAATAATTTGAAAGGCTAGTGATTCTCACAGTAAAATGATTTTAACTTCAGACTTGTCTGGAATAGAATACACACTTACATTGATATGGAATTGTGGCCTGGAATGAGAGTGTGGCTAGGAATAAAATTTGGTTGATGTAGATTTATTCTGGATGGAAGAGGAAGAGAGAGACTAACTTGTAGCACAAGTCTTAAAAGGTCTTATTAATAAAAACAAACCCAGAGCAAGGTATTGGGGTGAACACTGAAAGATCAGAGAGACAGAACCAACCACAGCTAACCTCACCTCACC